ACTAAATAAAGCACCCCGATAGTGAGAAGCAAGGGGACTTACGTAAATAAAGCACCCCAAAGGGAACAAAAAACTACCACGTCCACGCCGTTGTTCCTGGGTAGTGCTAAGAGTAGTAATTTCTATTAATTTTGACTACAAATTTCGTCCGCCATCTTGGTCCGCCATCTTGGATCCGCTATTTTGAATTTTGCAAATCTGACTTTAGATTCGTGATCAGCAACCCCATAAACCTCCGTAAACTTAATTTGGAGCAAATCGGTTAACTAAAATTCTTGTCCGCCATCTTCGTTCGCCATCTTGAAAATTTTAAAACAGCCAAGGTTATATCTGAACGTAAAATGTTCCGGGTTTTCATTTTCCGGTGTTAAAAAGGGGGGTTTCCATTTTTAAAAACCCACTTCCGGTTAAAGTAACCCACTCTCGGTCAAAATCAAAAGTTGAAAGGTACGCCATTTTGATTCCCCCTTGACACCCTACAACTTTTATATGAAACTTTTTTCGATTCCTGGCCACACAAACGAGTTATTGGAGGTGATAGATTCAGATGACTTACCCTGTATATCCTTTTCCAAGAACGTGGCGCAACAGGAAAAAAACACTCAAAAAAGGCACAATATAGAGTTGCGATTCATTGATTCCTACACGTTTCTCAGTGCTAGTCTCGATAAACTAGCATCGTTTCTTTATAAAGACAAGTTGAAAATTGTACAATCAGAATTTAGAAATTTATTCGTCGAAAACGTTGAATTATTAACGCGTAAAGGGGTCTTTCCGTACGAATACATAGACTGTGTCGACAAGTTGCCAGAGCAGCGTTTACCACCGCGTGAGTCAGTTTACAGTTTTCTGACCGGTGAAACAATATCTGAGAGTGAATATGCACACGCTGTAAATATCTGGCAGCGATTTTCTATTAGTACGTTAGGTGAATACAGCAATTTATATTTGAAAACTGATGTTTTATTATTGACCGATATATTTGAGAATTTTCGAGAAAGTTGTATTCAAAGTTATGAATTAGATCCCGCGTATTATTATACTTTACCCGGTTACACATGGGACGCTATGCTGAAACACACAGGCATAACATTCGACCTGCTCATAGTTGTTGATATGGTTATGTTAATCGAACGCGATATACGTGGTGGTCTTAGCCAGTGCAGCACAAGATACGCGCACGCTACTAACAAGTACATGCAGACATACGATTTATCAAAACCAATGTCGTATCTCATGTACTTTGATATAAATAACTTGTACGGTTGGGCCATATGTCAGCCATTACCGTATGCCGCATTCCAATCAGTAGACAACATCTGGAGTGTCGACGTAATGTTTGTGACAGCAACCTCAGAGATCGGTTACATCTTTGAAATCGATCTCGAGTATCCTCGCGAACTGCATGACGCGCACGCTAACCTACTGTTCTGCCCGACACGCGATAAGCCGCCTGGCAAGCGACAGAAGAAGCTGCTTGCAACACTACACGATAAATCGCGTTATATTATTCATTATCGCGCTCTGCAACATTGTGTGCGACAAGGTCTTTGTATTACAAAGATCCACCGCATATTACAATTTGCACAATCTCCGTGGCTCCGCAATTACATCGAATTAAACACACATTTTCAAACGCTCGTTACTAACAACTTTGAGAAAAATTTGTACAAATTGATGAATAACGCAGTGTTTGGTAAAACTAAAAATGTGCAACGCCATGTAGACGTAAAACTTGTAACAAAGTGGGACGGAAGATACCTAGCGGGAGCACTGATCTCTCGACCAAAGTTTCATAGTTAAATCGTTTTTTCTGAACATTTTATTGCGATTGGATTGCGTAAACTCAAAGTGAAATTCAACAAACCGATCTACGTAGGAATGTGTATATTAGACATATCCAAGACGTGTTTGTATGAATTTCACAACGATTACATGGCACCTCTGTATCAAGAAAAATGTAAAATTATGTACATCGACACACACAGTCTCATTTATTTCATTGTATGCGAGAACGTGTATGATATCATACAACGTGACATCGTTCGATTCGACACAAGTGATTATCCGATTAATGTGTACGGTATGCCACGCGTCAACAAAAAGATTCCAGGACTGATAAAGGATAAAAATAACGGAATGATAATGACTGAATTTGTCGGACTTAGAGCAAAAATGTATGCAGTAAAGGTAGATGGAAAGAAAGACACGAAAAAGGCCAAAGGTGTAAAGAGTAGCGTCGTAGCGAGAACATTGTTTGACGATTAGAAACAATGTTTGAATGATGAAATCGAAAAGATTTGTCGACAGTCGTGTATACGATCAAACTTACACAAAGTATACACTGTGTTCGAATCAAAACTTGCTCCAAGTCCGTACGACGATAAGCGGTATATGGTATCCAATTCGACCGAAACGGTACCATGAGGACATTACAAAATACCACAAGAAAAAACCGTATATAATATAGATTATATGTATATTGTCATTTAATATGTGTAATAATAATTATGTATATATGTTGTAAATTATGTATATGTCCGTGTATAATATAGATTATATGTGTAATAATAATTATGTATATATGTTGTAAATTATGTATAACTTTAATTTATATAAATGTAAATTTTTATAAAGTGTGTTTACAATACATTAGTTTAACTTATCCAAATTTTATAAAGTGTGTTTACAATACATTAGTTTTATTTATCCAAGAATTGTGTAATTTGTCTAATTCCAGCCACTTCACATAAACCTTGTTGCTTTTTTTGTGCAATACTTTTTCACCNAGATAAACTTCTGGATTTGCAACGCGATGCAGTTCGTGTTCGTAGAATCCTCCAGCAACAGATTGTCNACGTGAATCTTCAAGCAGATACGTCTCGGGAAAAGTTGCTTGTATTTTATTGATTTTAAATACTTCGGTCGTCCAATTTGGCGTATATCCTTGATCGAATACTGTTTTAAATTTGCTCACACGTACCGGATCACCAACTTTGAATCGTGCTGGCCCTGCAATCTTGACATTGCTGTACACCGTGGTTAAGAGCTTCTCGGCGATTGCTGGGGTAACATCGATAGGTCGCATACCGATAGTTCGATGTTTTCTCGCGTTGTACTACATAAGGAGACGCGGTAGTATGTCGATCCATTTGTAGGATCCATTAAGTGTAAATTTTTTCCACATGTCGTTCTTCAAAGTGCGGTTGAATCGTTCCACAATCGAAGCTTTCATAACCGAATATGTAGAATAATGATTGATGCTATGCTTGTTTATTAATGTCTGTATATCTGTGTTGTAGAATTNCTTTCCACGGTCAGTTTGCAACTTGTTTGAACATCGTTTGTTATCCCGAAATATTTCTGCAAACGTTTTGGCGATTTCGCATCCACTCTTACTCTTAAGCGGTATGGCCCACGCGTACTTGCTCAGCACATCAATAACCGTAAGTATGTAGTGGTAGCCTCTGTTGAAACGCGAACGCGGACGCATCTGTATCACATCCGCTGGCCAGAGATCATTGTATCCGCGTACGATAACGCGTCTACGGGAAAAATCTCTTCTTGCCGGAGCATGCAATTTTTCTACGAGACGTTGTTTTTTGATTGTGACATGATTTGTCGCCATAGCTGTTTTACTACTGTGTTAGTCGTTTTAGTTTGGTTTGGTAGATATTAAAGTGTATGCTGAAGTTGTTTTATAGCGTCGCGCAACGCTTGCACATCCTGTTGCAATGCGATAATTTTTCTCTTACGTGTCTCTTGCTATTCATTCACATTCGTGACACACATATCTACGTATCGTTTGTTGGCAGCGTCAGTGTCGGTATCGGGTTGCGCAACATGCAGTATCTTGCGCGACCTTGCATTGTAGCCGGAACCGACAAAGCAGAGAGCGTTATTACGCACGTAATTTCGCAGTATTGCTTTTCTCTCATAATAATACATCGACGCTCAATGTGTTTCGAGCGATATTCCAAATTTGTTGATTGGCATGATGACGCGCACACGACTGACTGACTCTAACGCTGACGCGATATTTTATCTATAATGAATCTTGCTTCGCGGAAATCCTCGATGATCGACAAAATTTTGTTGTCGTGAGCATTAATGCCCGCTTGACGGAAAGCGTCTAGCAACCGCAGACGGTCGACGAGTTCATTGGGATTGTCCCAGTATGCGTACTCGATCTTACGATCGCTTAACGTCATATTACGCAGTATATCTTTCCCCTGCTTAGAACGCACACTGGATATTAAAGGTACATTTATGTTTCTGTATTTGTATCCTTTGGTACCCAGTATTGCACCAAGCCTGTTGTGATGTTTTCTATGAGCATGTGTTATGTCCAATATCTTTTTGTATCGTTGTTTATCTTCCTCGGTATATAAGTCACTCTTTGGACATTTCATGAAAATCACTTCATACAATCCTTGTGTTGCTTTAAATCGTATACCATCTATGATTTTATTATCCTGTACATCTACGTCAAAACGCTTATCAACGAGCATCATTCCATCGTTGTCAAAATACACACCATATACGTAGTCTATGTCGTTCTCTTTCTTACCACACAGGATAACTTGTATACATTGTTGCGTTAACGGACCAAAATGATTGTAAAACATTTCAAGACCCTCCAACGTTTGCATTTGACGTTGAATAGTTGACTAAAACGAGTTGTTGGTAGTAGCATCAGTAGCGACAATAGTGTCAATCGATGGAGAATGTCAATTGTCGTTCGGTTTGTTCTTTCGTCGGAGTAGAAGTCGCCAATGCAATGGTATATCGTGTGCGCTTTGAATTGTGTAAAGTAGAGGACAGTGTTTCGTTCGATGTCTGTGTTCGTTTTCGCTTCGTCTCAAGTGACGTCAAGAAACATTGTGTCCGACGTCAGTTCCCGTATTTTCAGCAATCTGTTTCTCCTTCCCTACTTTCTCGCGATTTATAATTTCACTGCTTTCGTCAGGTAAAGCCATGTTGCTCGCACTGTAGGAGAGACAATACTTGGTTGATGTCTCAACAACGATTAACCACTCGACGGTATCGCGAACTCGTTAAATCCTTTTCTATAGCGACCTCTGCCCAAAGGACTGTCCTTGTCGATCACTAAAACTTCATATTTGTTTTGCCAACATTTGTGGCATACTATACAAAACTTCTCGTACGATATATCCGTATTTCCATGATCGTTATACACATGTTTGAGATTGGTACCATCTTGTTTGAAAAGAATTATTAGATTTGCGTTGTCATGTATAAGATACTTTGGTATCCTCGCGTACGTCAGACAAAGATAGAAACAGTCACCACTCGAGTGACGAACCATTGCAAAGTATTTTCGTATCATATCCTGCTTGTCACATGCTACGTCATCAAAATAAAAATAGATTTCGGAAGTGCTTCACTCGGCGGAATCACATTGCTATTAGTAGAAAAAGTAAAGTAACCGATTTCGTCTACTGCTGAAAGCACATTCTCCAGATATTGATACTTTGTTGCAACGACTTGGAATACACGTACACGTTCTCACAACGTACACCGTATGGACATTCAAGCAAGCTTAACACTACATTCGTTTTGCCGCAGTTCGAAGGACCGCACACAATACCACGTATAGTAACCGGTAGCATTATTCCATGTCTGCGTATTTTCTTGCCGGACATTTGGTGAGTCTAGCTGTCGAAATTAATTACTTTACTTGCCACACGTTGTTGCACGAACTGCATGATTTGTTTGTACTGCCTCGCGCGAGGAGCACCTATTTATAGAGACGCGTCGAGCGTTTCTACTCAGTCGTCAGAAGATACCTGATGTCAAACGTATATTGCAATCTATGTCAGGTCGTGGATTGTTAAATCGCGTGATAAACGCTCTTCCTGTCGAATTACATATTCCGGGCTACCAAGTTTGTGGCCCGGAAACGCGTTTGAAAAAACGATTAGCTAGAGACGATCGCGGCATTAATCCATTGGATGCGGCTTGTCGTGAACACGATATAGCTTATTCCGGAAGCAACAAACTCGCTGCTCGACACGTGGCTGATAACGCACTTGCTGCAAAGGCGCGCGATCGTATTACAGCGGCAGACTCGAGTCTCGGTGAGAGAGCAGCTGCGACCGCCGTATGGGCGGCTATGAACGCAAAAACTAAATTCGGCATGGGCTTAAAAAAGAAAAGCAAGTCAGCAAAAAGGAAGCGAATACTTCCAATTGCTAAACGCGGCGGTGTGTTACCGGTCTTACCGCTGCTGGGTGCTCTCGGTGCGTTTGATGGTTAAGCGACGGTAGTTGCAAAAACGGTAAATGATACGAGAGCTGGCAGTTAGAAGAAATGCAACGTCATAATCGCGCGATGGAAGGTTGAGGAATTTATCTGACTCCGTACGGACGAAGACTTTCAAAGAAAAAAAACATTAAATGTACCTACAGGTGTAACAACAAATATGCAGTTAGAACAACTAGCTTAACGCATGCGTATATCTTATTTTAGAGATGTTTTTATGCGTAATACATTACCAAACATAGTACATTGCAATGAGAGTGGTATCGTCAATTTGGATGATACAAATGGGCCAGGTACTCATTTGGTGACGTATGCAAAAAGAGGAACGCATGTCATATATTTTAACAGTTCTGGCATTCATCAACCACCGAAAGAGGTGGCTCGTTATCTAGAACATGCCGTGGACAAAATAGAATATAACTGTACATCTTTTCAACATTACAATCAAAGCAATTGTGGCCACTTGTGTTTACGGTTCCTTCAAACGTATGATAACCTATATTTCTTTAAATAGTGTGCTATCAACTTTTAATACGCATTCGACAACATGTCACTGACGTTCACACTTACCGGTAAAAGTAGCATCTTTGCGGTCAGCTACTTTCCCGCCATTGATTTAAGTGACGGTGATTACGAGCTTGAACTAACAAATTTTGAAACATATCATACGATACCGACGGTAAAATCGTCGAACAACAACTTCTATTACGATACGGATGACAAACAGATTATAATTCCTGAAGGATCGTACGAATTGCGAGATATTAACAATTATCTGCAACATGCAATGATGCAACGTAATGCGAGAAGCGAAGAAAAGGATGAAGAAATCTCACCACTAATATTACGTGCAACCATCAACACAATAAACAGCGAAATAAACTGCGCCTATCAAATAAATTTTAACAAAACCGACAACATTGGATTGTTGTTGGGATTTTCATCAACTCGTATTCTAGAGCCGCTACAATGGTACATATCAGACGTGCCGATTAATATTATCAACGTCAACATTATTCGCATAGAGTGCAACGTGACTGCGGNTGCGTACAGCAACAACCGGTGTGTGCATACGATACATGAGTTCTCACCGAACGTGCCGCCAGGATATATAGTAAGATCTCGGAAACACCGGCACAGATCATTTACCTTCCGATCATCGTNCAGAACATTACGGATCTGACGATACGTATTGTGGATCACTACGGATAATTGCTTGATTTTCGAGAAGAAGAAATAACCGTCAGGTTACACGTGCGACGCCGACGACTGTGATACGCGGCATGCTCGTGTTGAACGAAGCGGATGAAGTAACGCGAGATACAAGGTTTCCATTACAAACACCTGCTACGACGTACAGTAATCGGAAGAAGCTAAGTTCAATAAACGTTAAATTTTTGCAATCATTGGAATTTATTGTACGAGAAGTTTGAAAATACGTGCGATATTGTACATGTTGGGGGCGAGCCGATTTTTGACGATCGCATTGGCAAGATTAAAATTCACACGTACAATCCGTATGTGATCACGACATTTAAAGACAGTGATGAGATACGCATACCTATATAACAGCAGGACTTGTACACTTTACCGTGTCAAAGTTTTCTTTATGTCAAAGGAAAATTAACGTTAACGACGAAAGACAAAGGAGAAGTATATCTGGGTAATAAGTGTGTAGCTTTTATGTTTGACGAGATTTGCTACGAACTCAATAGTATGGAGATTGATTGTAATAGAAATGTTGGAATAACTAGCACGATCAAAAACTATATATCGCTAACACATGATAAAAGCATGGCCATA